TCAATATCCTCAAAGAACGTAGTAGTTCCTGTCTCAAAAATTGTCTTTAATGTGGGATCATAAAATTTATATCCCCTGAATCTTTCAACATAACCAATAAAATAACTACTTACTGTTCGGGAGTCCAATTTCTTTTCATTTGACTTATAAGGCCTTGCCTCAGCTGGACATCCCCACACATGGAAATGCTTTAGACTAGGCTGTCACCCAGTCCAAAGCTCATAAGGAGTTTTGGTAGCTGCTTTAGTTGGTACTCATTTTAGAATATAAGTTATCGTATTTAGTGTCTCTCCCTAAAGTGATTTCAGTAAGGTGGAATGACAAATCATACTCTTTACCATATCTTTAAGAGTGTAACACAAGCCCAAACGTCACGATTCGATTGTGACTTGAGCACTTGTGCCATAATGCACCTGAGTGAGTATTTTCAATTTTACGTTTAGTACCACGTGATTCTGTATTAAGGGTTTCATTATAGGTGACCACAATATCAAGTAAATACTTATTATCATAAGCCAAAAGTGAACCAGTTCCAACAATATCTGAATTAAAAGACAAACTGAACTTATTGTTGCCAAATAAACACAAATAACCTAATTTGTCCAAATAACAAACTGAAACCAAATTCCGTCTAAATGACGGCACAACAAAAGTGTCTTCCAAATCCAAATAAAAAACTAGTACTCAATAACAAATTAAAATGCCCTATAGCTTCCACCTCTACCGATTTGCCATCTCCAACATATATCCATCTTTCATAATCAATTGGCTTTTGGTAGCTTATGCAACCTTTCATAGAAACACTGATGTTAGTAGTTGCACCTGAGTCTAACCACCAAGTGTTACTAGGTACTGACGCTAAATTGACTTTAGAACGGACCAAAGTAGGAAACATACTTTTGAGGATTGGAACATAATTTAAATTGACAGATACAAAAGAAATTGTAGCTGAATTTAGAACATGAGAAATAAACTAATTATGCTCACATTATATAAAAATAAATAATTATAAATATATATTCAAATAATGGTTTAACCCATCTCAAGACACCCAATGCACCATCAATATCAAGTCTTTGGACAGTAATATTAACTCGCTAGATGTATCTTGTTGTAATAATCAAACATTGACAATAAAACACGTCCAACAACAAACCAGTCTTTGAATTGATTTATCATCGACAAAGCAAATCCTTATAATTATCACATCTTTATCATTACAAGTGTGTATGTAATTCGTCCAAATATTAATCTTCCTTTGGACCGACTAATACTCGCATGAATATACACAAACACTAACATTCAATATTTTTCATGAACTGCCCAATTCAAGAGAGGTTACTTTGGTGACTTCTTGACTCAATTTGCTCAAAAAAAATATTAAACTACCAAAAAATTGAATATTTTATTTATATAACAAAACCAAATATTTAATATTTGCAAACTAATTCAAAAGATAATCAACTTACTAGAATTCCACTAAGGATGACCACCTCCCTAGAATCCCATTAGGGATGAACACCTCATTTGAATAAATCAAAGGATGAAAAACACCTCATTTTCCACCAACACATAAAGGATGAATATCCCCCTAAAATCATACTAGGGATGAAATAGAGATAGATAGTTCTGGGTCTCTTTAACACACTGCTCTAAACCCTAAAAGGGGATTAAACAGTAATCACTCAAACCCTACACAGGGAATTTAACATTAAATTTTCCTTAAATCCCTAGGGGATAAAGACAATAAAATAATAACAGCCACATATGTGGAAACATTCACCAGTTGCCTAAGATCCTCTATGTTGGGAATTCCCCAAACATCACCCCCAATTTCAAACTCATCCATATCCACCATGAAAAGAAAACGAAAACAAAACCCATAAAATTAAATAAAAACAAAAAAAAAAGATTCAAAGAGAACAGAGAACTCAATACAAGAAAGATTGAAATTTGAAACACTATTTCTTTCTCAGTGAAACTTGAAACTTAAACTGAAACAAAAGGGAAAAAACGAAGAAGAAGAATCCATAGCTTTCTCCACGGTTCCATCAGCAAGCAGATTGAGGATGTTACCCCCAAATTTAAATGTTAGGGTTCACTAAAATTGAAGATTATTCTCCACTTAGGGTTCATAAAATTGGGTAATTTGAATTGTTTAAAACAAAATTAATCCTAATTTTTATAATTAGGGTTCTATAAATTAAACAGACATGAATCAAATATGGGCGGCTCTGATACCAATTGTTGGAAAATTAATAATAATAATAATAATAATAATCCTGATTTTGATTCTAACGATCAAACATAAACATAATCCCATACTGATAAACATGCTGTAAACTGAATGCGAAAGTGTACCTGAATTAGCCATAATGATGATGTCTTTGTAGAGCACTATATTGATCTTATGGTCTTCCACTTGAAGATCACCTGTATTTCCCTCTTGATTTTCTATCTTGATGGGGATAGAAAGAAAGGAAAGGGACTGATACTTACGTTCTGTGTGTGTGATCCCAGAAGGGGACCATGACTCCTTAAAATAACCAGAATTAGGTTAATTACTTAAGTTTTAGTATTTCTAGTTTGACCCCTTATCAAATTAGAAATTGCTCAATGGTCTCTACACAATTTTATTTTCATGACATATGCCTTTAGCCAAAACTTTAATTTAGTCAAATCACTTTATTATTTGGCTTAATAAATAATGACCCTAACACATTTAAATTATGTATCATATATATACATGACCCAAATTTTGCCAACATATTTGCCATAAAAGAATATGCAAGAAATTTGACATGGCATGCGAATGGTAGAAAATATGACAATCTTATTCGACATCTAGCTGATTCTTCATAATGGAAGAGGATTGATGAAATATTTCTGAAATTTGATGCAAAGTTAAGAAACTTGAGGGTGACTTAACCATCCATGGTGTCCCTCTATAGGCAAACTAGACGCGGGTAGTAGTTGATGAAGTTCATGATACTGATGTTCCAAGTGCCCTTTCCTAATGAAGAGATTCAACTAGTGGGATAGAAAAGCAATACACTCTTGACTTGACCAAGATGTTCAATGACGTCACTCTTAGCACGAACAAAGGTAATGTATATATTATGTATTTTTCTCTTCTTTTCTATTTTTATAATTATATGAATATTTAATTAATTGTTATAATTTGTTTAAGAATTTATTCTTCATGGTAAGCATAGGAGACAACATGTTATTGATGAGGACATCTCATAATCCGATGATGATCCCATATCTATGCTTTTGACCATATTACCACAGTTAAGGAAGAGACCGTTTCAGATACAGTGGGACATAAGAGTGTTTGGAATTGACAATTTTGTTGTTCCATTGTACATTTTCTTTCCCGACGCATAAGAAATTGTTAGGGAAATTGTGCGTTAAGCATTTCGATCATACAATTTTGGGTTATGTAAGTCATTTTCATTTATGTTTCTAACATTATAATAACTATATTTTACTTGTAAGTCATTATGTTAGGTACATTGACAAATTGAGTGTGAAGTAAGAAAAATATGAAGTATATGGATTTATTGAGCTTCAATCCATCCAAAAATTTAGAAATATGAAGATTGAAATTCAACAATATATGCAAACATGGATAAGTGACTCACAAAGACATATATACTTGGTTCTATTAATTGAAGCGTTAGTATTTTAATTTGTATTTTTTAATCATGTTAATTTTATAACTAATTTTTATGTCATATAATGTAGGTCTAATTGACGAGTTAACCGTAATCATTCCCAAAGATTATGTTGTGATGTGTAATTTCATTCATTGCACCAAAAATCAAGTTAAGAAATGAAAGTCTGTAGTAAGGATAACTTTATCTTTTTTCATTATGTTTTTAAAGTATAAATACATATTGAATAATATCTGACTTTATTTAAATTAGAATAGTGTCTGGAACTAATGTTCTAAGTGGAAGACCCAGAACAAAAAATTTGCACTTCATTTATTCTAAGGTTAGAAACTTATTTATATAAACACCATAATTATTGTTCATATCAATGTTAAAAGCAAACAAACTCCTTTAAATGTGGCTACTATATCATGTATTTAATGAGAATCATAGTTTGTATGGATATAATTGATTCTTAAATGGAGGTAATTTGCTTTCAACATTTGTTAATTTGATTTACCTTTATATGTATTACATGTTAACAATAGTCAAATTAATGTTTTAGGTATTTTAATATCTATCTCCATTATCAGAACATGATTTTACACAAATTGAAGAGTAATGGATAAGATTTTTCGTCCAAAATTTCTAGTACTTAGTTTGTAGGTTATTATTTGTATTATATTATGTAGTTTAGTATTTAAGTAGCTTAGTTTTTATATTAATTTAGTCTTTGTATTAGTTTAGTAATGTTTAAATTTTAAGTAGTTTAGTTGTTGTAATAATTTTAGTTTTTATATTTTGTATTATATTATTGTATTTTGAATTATTGTTATTGAAAATATGAAATCTAGACAAACTAAAACAAAATAAAATAAAATTTATGTGTGTCAATACCAATGTAATTTTATGTCAAACCTAATGTTAACCTACATAAATTTACATAAAGCTTGATCGGGCATAAAGTTACGTTAGGTATTTTACCACTCAAAGTAAATTTCATCCAATTTTGTATTTTTTGAAACCGATTTACAATTCTTATTCTTTTAGGCATAAATTAACGTCGTGAAAACAAAAGCACCTTGAAGGTATCCTTCATTTTCAAATATGCTTTCTACCATATGTGCTAGCATACGTCACTTACTATTACAAGTAATAAATAGCCTGCAATTTATACTTAACTTTTTTTTATTTTATCTTTATTTTTTATAATTGGTATAGAATATTCATACCATTGTAGAAAACTTTAGCTAGGTCGTATAGTAGAATCTCTTCTCTCTGTTTTTTGTTTATGAAGAGAAAACACAAACTAATCGAGTGACCCAGTAAAACTCGTGAAAAATGAAGTTTCCATTGCCTTTTCCCCTCGCAGTATTCGACACAGTACGTAGTGATGGACGTTATGGTAAAGTATGAGTACTCGAAAATGATTATTCTAGAGATTTCCACTTTTAAATTTGATTATAGTTAAGATAAAGACCTGCGCCCCCACCATGTTGTTGCCTCTATATAAGCCTGCTTAACTCAAACGGATCATTCATTGACTTGAAAAGCCATCAAAGCAAACCGCATTATTCCTCCACCCTTCACATTTCATCATTCCCATATAACCCACAAGAGCGGGAACTCAGGCAGAGAGAGAGAAGTTGCTACGTGTGGTAGTGTGTATGGAGATCATTGCTCTCTTCTTTTGCATTTTCCTCTTCTTCTCATCCCTTCTTTCCTATCCATTAATCAAGAAACACAAGAAACCTCAACACATAACTAAGCCTAAGCTTCCCCCTGGCTCAATGGGTTGGCCTTACATAGGAGAGACCCTTCAACTCTATTCTCAGGACCCTAATATCTTCTTTGCTTCTAAGCAAAAAAGGTTCTTAATTACCTTCATCATATCGCCATTTTTTTTTTCTTTTTAAGCTTTCTTTTGCATGGAGCTTAAACAAACATGGTGGTGGTAATGCTAACTTAGTTTTATAATTTCTTAATCATATCAGATATGGAGAAATTTTTAAGACACACATACTAGGTTGTCCATGCGTGATGCTGGCGAGCCCCGAGGCTGCACGTTTTGTGTTGGTGACTCATGCTCACTTGTTCAAGCCTACATACCCCAAATGTAAAGAGAAGCTGATAGGCCCTTCTGCATTGTTCTTTCACCAAGGAGACTACCACACTCGCATCAGGAAGCTGGTGCAAACCTCTCTTTCTCCCGAAACCATCAGAAAACTCATCCCAGACATCGAAACTGAGGTTGTTTCCTCCTTGGAATCGTGGGTTTCCGCTGGACAAGTCATTAACGCTTTCCAGGAAATGAAAAAGGTTGATATGATGTGTTTCGAGTTAATGAACCTCATTTTGCTGAAGTGGGAGTAGTAGTGGGTCTACTTTCGGTTTATATCTTGTCTTATTCGATACTTTTATTGCATGGCGTTGAATTTTGTTTTCATTTGTTGGTTCCTCATTAATTTTCTTGTCACTGGGTCCTCCATTATTGTGTGGTGATCATGATTTCACAACTCATGACTTACCTTAACTCTTTCTTCTTCGCAGTTCTCTTTCAATATCGGCATCCTCTCTGTCTTTGGTCATTTGGAACGCAAATATAGAGACCAACTTAAGGAAAACTACTGCATAGTAGAAAAAGGCTACAATTCTTTTCCAAACAGGATACCTGGAACTGCATACTCCAAAGCACTCTTGGTAAGTTATTGTGATGCATTTATGATAGACAAATCCTAGCGAAAACACCCTCTCTATTTTTATTTTTAATTTTTAACCATATTATTTGTAAGAAAAATAAAAAATATTTGTTGATAATTAGTTTTTTTGGAAAATGACTTGAGTTTTTTCTCTAATAACATTTTTTCGTTTTATATAACTCAGAATCCGAAACTATACTTAAAAAAAAAACTTGAGTCTATCAGACTGACAACTTATTGTCCACTAACACGCTTTTAAGCGTGATTTTATTAATAGAAAATGTTTAAAATCACAAAATTTTGTGAATCTTTCTTCTTGGTAAATGAGTTTCACTCATTATTTTGTATTTATCTATAAATTTTAATAGTTTATTAAGAAAAGTGTGTTAAACAGTGTGATAGTACTACTTCTCTTTACAACTACTGGTCTAAGAAAATCGTTTTATACTTGGGATCAGATTCTGTATCATTTCTCTGACTGATGAATATTTTTTGAAATGATTTGAAGGCAAGGAGGAGAATCAGAGAGATTATAAGTGAGATCATTTGTAAGAGAAAGGAACAGAGATTGCTGGGAAAGGATCTGTTAGGCCACCTGCTGAACTACAAGGATGAAAAAAGACAAATGCTAAGTGACGACCAAATTGCTGATAATGTAATCGGGGTACTATTTGCAGCTCAGGATACTACAGCAAGTGTTCTAACCTGGATTCTCAAGTATCTTCATGATGACCCGAAACTTCTTGAAGCAATAAAAGTAAGACTTGTTTTTGTCTCCAAAAAGATTTGGCAAATCCATGTAGGCCACCCCAAGTGTTGAAAAGTTATGCTAATTAATGAGTCAACGGAACTGTTTTGCAGGCAGAGCAAATGGCAATACATGAAGCTAATGAAGAAGGAAAGATGCCATTGACATGGGGTCAGACCAGAAATATGTCAATTACTCATAGGGTATGTATAAATGGTATATTATGCTGCTGTAAATGTGATGCAAAACAATTCCTTGTCTTGGTTTAATGTGAAAGCAAACTTGGATCTTGTATATCATTGCAGGTGATTTTGGAAAGCCTTAGGATGGCAAGTATCATATCATTTACTTTTAGAGAAGCTGTGGTTGATGTGGTATACAAAGGTAAGAATTTGAGACAGAATATTCTTTTACCTGTACATTTATGGGAATTTTAATTCTCAAAACCTTTTACTATTTCCTACGTGATTTCTAAACTGTTGTTTCCTGCAACTGTCAAGGATATCTTATTCCCAAGGGTTGGAAAGTCATGCCACTGTTCAGGAACATCCATCATAATCCAGAATTCCACCCTTCTCCTCACAATTTTGACCCATCAAGGTTTGAGGTACGTTATGCTGCAAACCAATTTGTCTACCACTTAGTCAAACAAATTTATTTTTTTGAAAAAACCAAACCTTATATATTCTTCTGAACATATATTTCAATTGTACATGGCTGCAGGTTTCTCCAAAGCCCAATACTTTTATGCCATTTGGCAACGGAGTGCATTCTTGTCCTGGAAATGAGCTTGCCAAACTGAACATGTTCATTTTGATTCATCATCTAGTGACAAAATATAGGTAAGTTTTCAAACTCATTTTGTATTTTAAGTTAAATTTTATTTTATTTTTTCAAATCTGCAGTATGATGATGGTCAGACTACTTAATTACTGTTGAATTTGTGGATGACAGGTGGGAAGTGGTGGGATATGAGAACGGAATCCAATGTAGCCCATTCCCAGTTCCTCTACATGGTCTACCTACAAGATTTTGGACAAACGAATAGAATCAAAGATGATGATAATATGATAAAATCTTCCTTTATTCATCATTTATAAAACTTTTGGATATTCCTTGCCACCCCAACTTGATATTGATTGTTCCTCCTTAACCCAACACAACCTCACCTCCTATTTTAAAGCGAGGACCCAAGTAACATAATGTTTATCCTATTTGTTAATGGTGGCATAGCTCAGTACAATTTATTAGTCTGAGTGTGTACGTTGTACGAATAATAAATGTTTTCAACTAATGGTAATTTAGTTCATGAGCTCTATTCAATGGTTATGGTTCTATAATGTAACCTTTTGTAACTCAAACTAGTCTTGGATTCCAGATAATTGATTTCAAGGGGGCTAGACCCTCCATGGTCCCCTACAGTAGTTTCAAGATTACTCATGGTAATGTAGTACGAAGTTTATATTCATTGTTGTCCTTTCATCTCACTTCTGAAACACCCATTGACCAGTGGCGGTCTTAACTATTCATTTTAGGGGCCTAAATAATATATTATTAATAAATAAGAAATAAATATAAAAGGAAGAAAGAAGATGAAATGGTGAAAAAATAAAATTATAGATATATACTTAAATATATTAAATGATCATTAAGTTTGAGGGAACAAGATCATAAATTATATGAGAGTTACAAAGCCGAGAGGATAAAATTGTAAATATACAAGTAAATATATTAAATGTTCATTATGTTTGAGGGAGACAAAATCATAAATTACATGAGAGTTACAAAACTTTGGGGGGGCCACGGCCCCCCTCAGCTCCCAAGAAGATCCGTCACTGCCGTTGACCATTTAAACTCGTAAAGAAAACACAAAACATAACACTGAAATGGATTTACAACCGACATAGTGCTTACTAGAGTGAAATTTTACATTACCATAATGAACTCTAAAATGAACGTATGTGGTAAGTGTAAAACTTATAAAAGATCAAAAGAACATATCCAGAGCATCAAATGGTTGGAAAGAGTGAAGACATAAATTGATAATGACATCTTGAGGTAAAAGAGTAGTTAAGATTGAATTTTTCGAGAAAAGACAGAATATCGACAAATTGATAATTAAGGAATTAAAAGAGATGAACATTGAAAAATTATGAATAAAAAATCTAAAGAGTAAAATAAAAATGAATATATTGAGAGGAAGTTATATAGAAAGATTTTTCACTCGTGCATTGAAAGATTGTTAAAGGCGATTAAGAAATAAGCTCCGTAAAATGTGCAAGTTACGAGTGAATGTATATCAATAAAGTGAAACAGTTACAAGAGAATAACCATTTGAGATATTTTAATTTCTAATTTTAATTTTATTATTTTTATGGTTGCTTTTGCGGTTACAAAAAACAATGTATATAGGATAAAATAAAGGTAAAAAAGGGTGATTGTCAAATTGTACAATTTATATTCTAAAAAATAGTGTGAACTAGAAACAAACATTTTTAATGAAGTTCTTTACAATTTGGATCGTCACTATCAATTTTTGTTTTATCCTTTATAATGGGTTCGATTTATTTTTATGCTATTTAATTTTCTGCACATTTATTTTTCAGTAATTTACTTTCACAGTTCTTTATTATTTTTGTTAGTTATTTTAAATGTTTCAGATTGTATTAAATATAAAAATTGAATGCAAACAATCTTTCATTGAAATCGATTATGTATTGAACTTTGAGTGAAATTAGAAAAACCCACATAGTGTTTAAGTATTTCAGTGTGTAAATTGTATTAATTATATCGAACAACGAATTATTTACACTAGAAATAAATTGGCACGCCCTGTGGGGCACATTCGTTACATTAGTGCACGATATTAAGAAGTGGTAGAGTCATAATGACAAATCAAAATTCACAAGTTTTAGTACCAATACCAAATTCTACGGTAATACCCAGTGTTAATACTAATGAAAGTCAGAACGTGAGCGGAAGTGAATTGGTTTAGGGTGAAGGAAATCAAAGTGGTCAAGAACCTATTTAGTCAACACATAATACGAGTAGACGATCACATATGAATAGTGGGAACACATCACCCCATAGGAATAATCAGGGAATTCCAACAACAGAAAGATATCCTTGGGGAATACCACCATGAAAACCAACTCCAGGTTCTAATATGGTGAGTGATCGAAGTCAAGATCACTTGAGATTGGGGAATAATGGTAAGGGGAATACTGGAAATGGTTAATGTGATTATAATAATGTATACACTGGAATATCCAATAACATGTTAGGGGTTATAAGACAACAAATGGATGATAGTAATCATGAAATGGTCAATATGTTATCTCATCAGATGATTGTTATTTTAAATCCATTAGTACAAACAACTACTGATATTTTTTTCAAAGACTAGTTGAACAAATGACAAGGATAGGAGATGCACTTGCGATCCCTAGGAGGAATAACATAATAAATAATGATATGCCAACAAGAGATAATCACCAAAACGAACCCCTTGAAAGACAAAATAATGATAATCAAGATATGCGAAGGAATAATGGTAATTGACAGAGAGATGTTAGGATAGTCAATAAAGGTCAAGATGCAGATCAAATTTTGCATGTCTAGGATAATATAAGAAGGAATCAGAATAATGGGGGAATTATCAACAAAATACTTATAATCAAGTAATCGGGCATTGGAATCAGCTGGAAGAAGGAATGAGATTATATAATCAACCATATTTTATTTCTTCTTTTCCTGATTTTGTGTTAGAAGCATAATTGCCTAGAGGAAAGAAAATCCCAAAATTTACAAAGTTTGCGGGAGATATTGGAGATTCTACTATCAAACACATAGTGAGGTATCAGATTGAGTGTGGAAACTTATTAACAAGTGAAAGTTTAATGATGAAATAGTTTCCAAGCTCTTTGACAAAAAAAAAATACTTTTACTTGGTTCACTACTTTGCCTCCAAATTCTGTGTTTAATTGGGTATATTTAGAGAGAAATTTTCATGAGCAATTTTTTAGAGGAGAAACCTGTTAGACAAATGGCATCTAGAGGGGGGGGGGGTGAATAGATGCACAAGTTAAAATAGATGCCAAATTAAAAATTTATTGTAAGATGTCCAATAATTTATTAATTCAATTTTAATTATCAGATAAAATATAGATAAAGCGGAAGCGATATAATCAGATAGATAAAGGAAAAGATTCAAGCGTGGAGATGTAGGATGTGGTGCTGTTAAAGAGATAAATGTAAGAGAAGAGCACACAGTAATTTATACTGGTTCGGGTATAGCCAACCCTACATTCAGTTCGCAGTCAACTCTAATCACAAGAGTGACTCCCAATTCACTATCTTTAAAATTCAATTTACAAATTATAATTAACTCAGCAGAGGAACCAGTAAAAAGTAAACTAATTAAAAAGACAATCACCTCCTTAGAAACCCACTAAGGATGAACACCTCCCTAGAATCCCACTAGGGATAAACACCTCCTCTGAACAAATCAAAAGATGAAAATCACCTCCTTTGCCATCAACACACAAAGGATGAACACCTCCCTAGAATCACACTAGGGATGAACATCTCTCCGAACAAATCAAAGGGATGAAAACACCTCCTTAGAATCCCACTAAGGATGAACACCTCCCTAGAATCCCACTAGGGATGAACACCTCCTCTGAATAAATCAAATGATGAACAACAACCACTTAAACCCTAAAAAGGGGATTTAACAGCAACCACTTAAACCCTAAACATGGATGTTGCTGCCGTTCAAAAGAAGTGGTCGGAGCGACGCGATGATTTTGGATTGACTCGCGTTTTTTAAAGAAGTGGTTCAACGCCTTTAAGTTGTCTGATAACCGGGCTGGACCTAAAGGCGAGGTTTTCGAAAAGGTTTGAGGAGTCGTCACCAGTGTTATAACCTTAAACACTGAAAAAGGTAAAAGAAAGAAGAAAGCAGTGATTTTAGAAAAAACCAACTTTGGCCATTACAACCAGAGTCGGGTAAGGAAGTTAGTTATGTGTGGGGAAGGTGTTAGCACCTCACAACGCCCCTTTCGGGTTCCCTATGATGGACTAGTTTAACAAATAAATACTTAAAGAAATTATGCTTTTACCCTATTATTTAAGCTACTGGTAAAATTTAAATGTCTACATTATCCTAATATCTAATACATACAAGGAAAACAGTAAAAGAAAGCAGTAAAAGATAAGATATATGAAAGAGAATATCCAAAGCGAGCTTTTATAAATCTCAAACTTGAGGACGCTTTTTGGCAATCCCCGCACTCTACAGGTCACTCCTCCCTCGAACAAAAAATAAGAGTACCACCCTACCAAGGGCCGGACGTCTCAAAAGGAGACTTCCTTAACCGATTTCTACCTTAAACGGAAATCGGAAAGCTCACTCGAACTCTGGAATAATGCTTAGAATCACTCAAAAGTGCCAAAAGACTTCCTAGAGAGTGTAGGAGTGGAGAGGTGGGAAATTTCGAGGAATGAGGGCTCCTGTTTATAGGGAACCGCACCAGGAAAAAGTGGACAGCCGTTTGGACTTAGTGGACGGCCGTCCATGGCAAAAAGTGGCCATGGACGGTTGTCCATGTAGTGTGGACGGCTGCCCATGACTAAAAGTTGCCATAGACGGCCGTCGAAGCTAAGTGGACGACCTTCAATAGCCTTAAAGTTGGCATGGACGACCATCTGCTATCTCCGACGGAATTTACGATTTTTATTACCTCTGAAAACCCTTCCTATCTTAAATGGAACCTAGAAAAAGCTTCTAGGGACTTAATAAAGTCTTGACCATCTTTGAAATGGGTTATCTCTGGCTTTATTAGGAGTTGGGTAGGATTTGGGGTCTACAATGGAATTTAACGACAACCACCTAAACCCTAAAAAAATGGATTAAGGCAATAAAATAACAGCAACCACCTAAATCCACAAAGGATGAAGGCAATAAAATAAGAACAGTCACACCTAGGTAATGGAGTCAACAAATTGTAGAAGCCTGTAGAATGCCAACTTGCAAGAACAAGTGTG